AAAAGTCATTACCTGTACCGGATCTCCCTCGGACAAAAACTTAATACAACCATGAAAAAATAAAAGTTACGATTCAAGAGTTTCTCACATTCAGTCGAAAAAAAGAAAAGGAAGAAAAGACGAGTTCAGTACAAAATAAAAGCATAAGATAGATTCCTAGATTTATACTAGCATAGCTTATACAAAATATATACACACCAAACAGTAATAGCGAGTTCCCAAACACAATATTGAACCAAGCCAGGTGGTTTTTAGCCGAGTGCCTTAAGCCCGAGCCCACGACGAAGGCTTAATTCCCCCACCCAACAATCTTGATGCCTTGGTAGCATCTATCTTTCTCCTCTTGGCCTCAAGCTCCAAACGCCTTTTTTGTGGGCCTGATGAATTGGACGGCCCAGAAAAAATCGAAGCTGCCTGAATCAGTGCCCTCTTGTCTTTCCTGTTCCTCTCGAAATTGGTGGCGAATTTGATGCGCGAAGCAGCAGCTTCATCCTCTTTGGAAGCCGGAAGCAGTCTTAATCCAAGGCCCGATTTTCTCGAATGGGCCTCTTCTTGGGCCACTCGATTCTTTTGGTCCCTGAGCCTGGCCCGAAGAGACCTGTTTATAGTGTAGTCATCCGAGTGCCTCGAGTCGGAAAGCCGCTGAAGGCGAACGAGAGTGGGTTCGGCTTCTTTCTTCTTCTTAATGTCGCCTTCTTGGTGTTCGAGACGCTTGAAAGGATCCGAGAGCTTGCTTCTATCTGGAAAACAGAACAAGAGTAATTTTAACTACCTATCTTTAATATTATTACAACAACAACAACATAGCCTTTTAGTCCCAAACAAATTGGGGTAGGCTAGAGATGAAACCCAAGAGAACCAGTGGTAAGAGAAACACAAAAAAGGCTCAAAACAAAAGGAAGAGATTGGAGCAAAAGTCACGGTTTTGGCACGTTGATTGCTATCTTTAATATTATTCATATAATTAAATAATACAAACAAATCAATCTTACGCATCACATCAACTTTAATTAACTATTCATCCACTCACATAATTTTAAATACCTATCATTTTCAATTAACAATCATTTATCTCCTATTTTTTAATCAAATCAATTTTAATTATTTTATTTTAAATACTATTTTAATACATTCTTAAAATCCCATAACTAACTAACCATACACCTTTTTCAAAATTAACTATGATTAACCAAAATAACTCATTTTAAAGGAATTATTATTTGGTAAACAAGTAATACCCTAAGATTTTCGTGACAAAAATCGGGGATAATTTTGTAATATCCCTTCCTCTATCCCAATATAAAGCATATGCTGCTTGTTCAACATATATAGAATGTACCAAATTGGCTGCTGCACAACAATACTCACCGTCATCGACAGGGAGCACCAAAGTTTCAGCATCTTCTGCATCGTATTCCTCAACCTTCTTTCGGGCCCCACTGATGATCACATACTCACAATTCTGAGGATCGGTATGAATTACGATCTCATGCCTGCAGCACGCGGACTTCATTGTGAAGCTCCATATCTGGAAAAGGAATGTCGTCATAACCAACAGTAGTACTAAAAACACAGAAAAAAAAATATCAAAAACTGATGAAAAAATAAAATGATACCTTTGTTGAGTAGTAATTCCCCACTTGCTTTTTCTCTGCATTAAACCTCACACCCTTGCCAATCATGGACTCACATCCACCGCACCAGATATTAAAGGGCATCTCAAACCTGTACAAAAGCATACCATGAAGCCATGAACATAGAATATCCAAAAACACCCAAGAAGGATTTCATAACCCAATCAATTTGACATCATTAAATGTAATTTCAGTACTCCATTATTCACGACACAATCAGTAGCATCATATTTCCGACGACTACTGATCAATACTCTTCAACAGAAATTTATTTGAAAATTGCAATAAGACATTACTCGGGGAAAAAAAAATATAGTAATTACAGGGAATAGAAACTCTCTCGCCTCTGAACAATGAGAGTATACAAGGTAATGTATTCTCTTTTTCTCTCCAATGGCATTAATTTTTAGTTTAGAACATCTCCTTTTTACATCTCATTCTTCTTTTCAAAGGGGGTCTTTCTGGGTTTTGGTTCTAAACTTGGGCTGCCACCCTTTATCTTAACAAGGCCCGTGACACCCCCATTTTGTTCCTGTTCCCTGTTTCCGGGTAGTTCAAAGTGGTTTCTTTTAGGAGTTTAGCATATATTGTGGGCTTCATGCCCACCTGAATTTATTCCAAAGGCCCACCAGCCTCCTTTGAGCTTTATTTATCTTCTGTTCTCATTTGCAGGTCGTATTTGCTGGATTCAAGGGTATAACATGTTGAATTTGTAATTTTTTACCTAGACTACTTACCATATGATTGGGTTTGTTGAATATGATGCTCTAGCATGGGTCGGACCCACCTGCTATCACCATTCCATCTTCTCAGGGTTGATGGTCTTTTATCGTATTTTTGGAAAATATGGAGGAAAAAAATAGACCTTTGTAACCTACTTTTGGTTACTATTCTTCTTTGGACCTGAGAAAAGACTTCTCTGTGCGTAGGCCAAAACGCCCAGCTTGCTGCCGATGGTCTGGGGCTTCTAGTGTTTATTAGGAGTGTTCTTCTGTCTTTCAATTTTCCCTTATCCCGTAGCTTTGTTGAGGTTTAAATTTTTGTTTTATTGTTAGGATTGGTTTGGGAAACCTCTTTACTTTTTGATTTGTTGGGTGCAATGTTGGCAGGTAGGTGTTCCCATTAAACTATCTCTGTACTTGTATATTGTCACATGTTAAAAATAAAGTTTTTACATTTCATGAAAGAAAGAAAGAAAGCCGATTGGAAAAAATGCAAAATTTTCAAAAATCTCCTGGTTACGAAGTACATTTAAATGGAAGAAACTTATCCAGTATCCAGTTTAACTAATAAAGTTAGCGCAATCAAGAAACTCAAGTACTATAAAAAATTATGAAGCAATATATAACTTTTTTCCCCTGCAAAAACTCTTATTCATACTATTATATCCAGCAGTATTCAAACTTTTAATGATGAGAAAAAGCAAGCATATGCAACCCAATCTCAATGCACTCACCCTTTACCCTCTAATTGAGCATCCATAATTCAACAAAATAATTTCAAACACCTCTTTGAATTAGACGCTTAAAGGAACAAAGTACATCCCAAGATAATGATCAAACTCAGATGGTGTCGTACCTTATAATCAATATGCCTTGATCTATTTTTCTTGCTCTCTCCCTCAGAGCATGCTGACCTTGGAACTTGTTCAACCCACCCTGAAAAAAGCAATACATGAATGTGAAGCATAGACATATTTACACGCAGCAAAAAGCTTTTGATATGGTCATACTAGAAGTATACCTTCTTTGGTTCCCATTCTGGTGGGTAGTAAAAGTTATCTGCCCTGGCGGCTGCAAGAGAAGACTGCAAAAACCAAACAAAAAAGGTTAATCACTCAAATAAGATTTGCACGTGACAAACAATACCAAAACACAAATATTGACAGCTTCGAATTGACAAACTCGTTCATAGCTAAAAACTAATGATTAGTAATAGATGCCAAATATAACTTATCAGAAGCACTGTATTGTGCATAAAGAAATGTTGTCTGCTTGAATTCAATATATCAAAATAAAAAATTCTTTCATCTTAAAATAAATACACATAGACTCTTTTCAACAATTTCAGCTTCCGATGCCATCAAAATAATTGAAGAATAACATTGGAAAACCATCTCAAACCCTAAGTCGAACAAAAAATTAGGCAACAAGAACCGCAAACGATCTCACAAATAATAAAGGATCCCCATCATTCAACGAATCAAAGGTATTACGTAACACAAATAAAAATAACTTCCAATTTACATGTTCGACCAAATTCTCAGTTTGATCATAGCTACAAACCCTAGCATCTACAAATAAATGAATCATATAAGCAACTGAGAGAAACATCACATACCATTTTGCAATACGGTTATCTTCAGAGATGGAATACGAATATGATATGCAGCTGAGCTCTTGTATCTCGATTATAAAGTCGTTCAATTCTGGATCGAATTTGCTTATGTTTCTTCACAACAATCGGTTTTTCCTTATAATGTTGATGATGATATTATTGAGAACGGGGCTTCACGACGGCGTCGTTCGGTGTTGGACTGGGCTATAAGCCCATATTGGGAAATCTATCATAAATTAAGTAAATCAGCCCAGCACATAATGTGGGCTTTGATCTTCTGAATCAACGAGATGATCACAAAATAATATGAGAAACTCTCTCTCCTCTACTGCTTTTAATCTTATTTTTAAAAATAGGATCGATACATCATATATTTATATATACAAATATTATATTATTTAAAGTAATATAAGTCAAATACATTTTTTCCATTTTTTTTTCTCTTCCTCTATAGTTATTTTTATTAAAAAAAAATTCCGGAAAAGTGGAGGTTAAGACTGGACACTCAACCTGTATATGAAAGCCTTAAATGGGCTGAATAATCATAAATGTACAAGTCTAATGTCCAAGATAAAAATAAATAAATAAATAAATAAAAAATAGATATACATATTCATCAATGCACGTATACATACAAATCCTATCACGTACGCACGATGTATCGAAAGTGGCATCACAAATTAATAGGCAAGTTTCATTATTTGTTGAATTGTTCAAAAACAGAAAATCGAAGGTCAATAACGCAAAACTTAAAAGGGAAAATCGTGTTGAATTATTGGTCAACCAAATAAGGAAAAAAACATTATAAAGACTTTAGCCGGTCAACAAATACACGGGAAACGTTTTAAGTTTTAACCTTTCAAATGTTAATATTTAGTCATTATATTTAGTTACAATATACAATTTTATGATAATTTTGTAGTGATTACGTACACTTTAGATTGTTAATTATTTCAAGTAAATTTTAAGTAATTTCATAATTTATTAAAAGAAGGATGACTTCAAATTGAAAAATAACATAATTATTCAAAAGAGCCTGATATTGAAAAAAAGAAAAATCATGACTTATAATAAGTTCCTTCTTTATAAGTTTAATTATTCCGCAACTCGTTAATCCATTAGTAAGATTTCCAGTGTAATTTACCTATATGTCATACACTTTGTAAATTTAATTATTGCCTCAAACTAAATAATGTACCCAAAATTTGGTCCTAATAGGCTAAAACAACAGTAATTGAACCGTATAAAAAGGTGAAGGTTGAAATTCCCAACATGCCTAATACTAGTAACTACTGATTGGTCGGCATTTGAAGTGATCAAACCCCAAACTGCAATTGCAAATTGGACATCTTAGCTAGTCAACTTAGATCCCAAGGTCAAAGGTTGGTTTGCATCTCAAGGACAAGTCGCACGTAAATTTAGTTCCCATAAAGTTTATCAAAAGGACCTAGTCTATGTCTAATCTCTAGCACACTTGCAGTTGACCCAACTGCCTCGGTTGGAATCTACCAATTCCACATTCCGGTCACCTGCACATTGGTGAATTGTGGATTTATATCCTAATTACACAAAAGGTAGGGACAAAAATGTAAGAAAAAAAATTAGAAATAAAATTGTGCTTGCACATTCATTAATTAGGTTTTTATCTTTGATGGAACTTTTTTGGTGAGTGCACTTTGTATGGTGGTGAGTAGATGGAAACCATGTGGTGGGTTTACACCTCACCAATATATATATATGGCTAAACCATACATGTGTCGCCAATTATTTTTATTTATTATATATTTTATGAACAATCAGAATTTTACTCCAAGGTAATCCCAAAGTCAAAGTCCCAACAGTAGGTAAGAAAATGAATGTTTGGTCATCCTCAATAGATGAAATGAAAATTTGGTAATTAAATTAAAGGAATTCAAGTCGCATTTTATGTTTTCCTCTCTAGTTCAATATAGTCCAATTGTAATCAGACGAAGCAAATTACTTTTAAACCTGAATTAAAAATATTGAAGGCAAATTTATTCAGAAAATTAGTTTTTTTTTTAAATAAAAAAAAAAAAGTAACAAAGGAAGGCAGAAAATCTGGCACAAATTTCCTTTAAATTAGTTAATTAAAGTCGATTGGGCGAATCATGAAATGACGCGAAACAGTAATACCGCCCTAAAGCACCATCCACGCCTACAATTTATTAATACCACAAATTATGTAATTTTTCGCAAGTCAACTTTTCCTAACAACGACCCGCAAGACCACAGCCAAATCCCACATATAAAAACCAAAACACCTTAAACTATTGGACATAAAATTTCACAAACTTGTTCCTCATCCATCTCCTCTTTCAAAACCACAATTCAATAGAAAATAAATATTAATATTAGTTATAAGCTAAAATAAAATGGTTCGTCCTATGCCGATCGTCCACATAAGCAGCGTGTTATCCTCCCCAGCCGCACTAGCCATAGGCCTGTTTGTTTCGGCAACTCTCCTCGTCGGCCTTTGTGCAAAACACGCAAGGAAAGTTCCGAAAAAGCAGGGCTCGGGAACAAAAGATCCAAACGCGCCACTGCCGATCAAGTCCCCCAAGCAGCTGATCGCGACTATAAGCCACAAGGCCATGATGGTAAATTCCAAGAAAAAGTCAGAGCGTGAAGTTGGAGTTGGCGGGAAAGTTAATAGTACTAATAGTGACGGTGAGGATGAGGAAAACGGGGTTTGGCAGAAAGCGATTTTGATGGGTGAAAAATGCCAGCCGCCGGAATTTTCAGGTGTGATATATTACGATTATTGCGGGAATAGAATTTCGGAGATGCCTAAGTCGCCTAGAGCCACGTCGATGAGCCCTTTGAGGAGTTTCAATTTTCCCGCGCACAAAAATTGAGGATTATGTGCACTGTATCTACTGATTTTGTGCGAGTTTGTGTAGGAGAAAAATATGGGGCTGTAGGTGTTTTTGTTGTGATGTGAAAATCATGGGTTCTTGGCGTTTTTCTTCTTCTTCTTCTTATTATTATTATTATATTTTTATATTTTTCAATACATATTTTTAAATGGACTCATTTGTTAAATTGAAAAACTGAGACGCCCACTGTCCCCATTTGAGACTAAATTCAAGCATTCTTAATTTCTATGCATTTGCATTGCTGTGAGTCGGTTAAGACCATTGCAAACATATTTGGCACATTTCTTGAAGTTGATTACGTACCTCACTCGACTCTATAATTTACCTCAACTATGTCCGAATGCGTGTTCAAAATTCATGTTTCATCCAAAGTAATGTATCCAATAAGTTACCAATTTTAAACAATATATCTATAATTTAGATACAATAATTGCAATCAACTTATAACAAGTGCTAGATTAGAGCGAATGACCTCATTAGATGGTTTGAAGGAGGAAAAATTTCCCAGTGCGTTAAAAACTGAATGTCCTTTTTGTGCATTCCAATTGAAAAGACTACCTCAGTGATAGCACCAGAGAGAAGTGTTAGTTCCGTTTATGCCGCCTCAAGAAAAGTTTCAGGGTAAGCTAGTATAAGAAAATATGAAGCATGGACTTATAGAAGTGCCACTTCAATGCACAAAACATCTACACAGTTTAATTCTGTGGAGTGATTCATATCATTTTTACAATGTTATTCTCTCAGATTACAAGTATGTTCTTTTTTCTTTCTTTTTTTTTTTTCTGTCTTTTTCCCCATCTATTATATGTTTCTTTAGTTAAAAATTTTACTCCCTATAATCTCCAAAACACATTGTTTCTCTGCTTACAGATGATGAAATGTACAACTGAAAACTGAACAATGCAAAAACAAAAATTAAAGTACGCGTAGAATCTTCTCATTCTTCTGGTTTACTTTCTTCTGCACTTTTAGCATGAGCTCTGCCTCTTAGCTCTTCAAATGCCTTCATACTTTCTGCATCAAATCCTCCGGCAAACTGGAAATATATTGAATAATCTTTATTAGGTTCTATATATCCTAAGTTTTGGGTATAATTATTACAAGTCATACTTGAAGGGTAATTGAGCACAACCCCAGGCAAATTTTTCGAAGGTTAATTATAGTATTTTAAAGAACATATTCATTCTTTAGTTATCATCATTTTTACATCGCCAACTCATGCTGCAGATAGTTGAGTTATTCACACTTCCAGACAAATGAGGATGAACTAGCATGCATGTAAACGACAGAAAGTTGGAGTTATTACCTGATGCACACGGAAAGCAAAACGGACACCCTGAAGGATCAAGAATTCTTTGTTGGGTTCCTTCTCGGGCTCATTCATTGCGTCAAGCTCTGATGCCACACGGTTCATGTAATTTCGAGCGAGTTGTACGGATGAGAGCTTGATCTGCACATAATTAATTAAGAGATTCATATTAATTCATTTGAATGTGCTCTCAGTTTGCGCTTCATAAATTTGACACAGAAGCAAAGTTGTCTTCTCCTGGTTTCAGATTATTATGGTTAAGTAATGCGGATAAGAAGTAGGAGACATTTTAAACACTAAATTATGTGATCTCTCTCTCTCTCTCTGTCTCTCTTTCAAGTTTTTGAAGATTTAGCTTACCTTGCCAACTACACCGGAATCAAGCAGCCAGTCGACTGGGATGCCAAATTCCTTGTACCGTGAGACTGCCATGTCTCGTGTGCGTAAAAGCGCGTATACACTCTGCTCTACCCTGTCAATAGAAAGAAAAATTGGAGTATGCCAAAAAAATTAAAGGCCACAAGAAATCAGGGTAAATCAGAAAATAGAATTAATGGTGCGCATAATTACAAAAAAAACTCAGCTACCTTTCACATCTACTAGTGTTGTTTTGTTTCTTTTATTAGGTTATTAAATCCAAAGTAATGTTAATTCTTAATGTTTAAAGAAACAAGATAACTGGTTCAAACATGAGAAGTCTGTCACAGCTAATTTATTATCTCCACATGTGTACCAAACTATAAACGTCTAAAACATCTGATAATATTTAACCGACTTAATTCTGCATGAGAATAGCACTTACTTTTCAAGCAACTTATACATCTTTTTGAGAGCAGCTTCACAAGGCAGACTCGGGTCATCAGTGAATGACGAAACCTGCTTCTCCAATTTCATCAGGTCCTGATATTCAAATGCCGCCTCTCTTAGTGCATCAGCTTTCCCTTCCGGCCAATCAAAGTGCTTTAATACAGCTCGTTCATCCACCTGAAAGAGACAAACGAATATGTGCCTAGTAAGGAAATCATCTGCTTCATGTGTTCTATTTTTTTCTCTTTTTGATGATATACCAGAATAACTTCCTCTTGAAGTATTTTTCCTATGCTATATCACTTTCTTTCCCAAGCAGAACTTATGAAAATACCCACTTCGGATGCCCAAACAATTACAGAGTTCCACAGATAAGGCAACATACCAAGAATGAGAGCTCCTCATCCAGCCAGTTCACAAACGCCACCAAATCGTCCACGTTATTAAACGAAGCCGCTCGAACTTCGGTCGCCAACGACTGCACAAAGTCTCCTTGAGTCTCCACATCCGCTTTAACCTGAAATCAACACTTTCAGATTAA